GTTCAGCAGATCTCTCTGCTAACACCATCTTTGGCCATTTCAGTGTTTGTCTTTATTCATAGGTGTGAAGTCATTCGTTGAAAATTTGTGATATAATCATTCCCCTTTCTCTAACTACCTATTCTTGTGATAGACAGCTTCACTGCATTTCCATTAAAGACACCTGCAGCCCAGGAAACCCACTCTCTAGAGTCAAGAACAGAGAGAGTTCTCATGGACCTCTAGGAAGATAAAAGTTCTGTTCTATCAATTAATTAATGAGCTGTGCAGGAAGCTGACAAGGCTGCAGAGTTCTAGAGGAGGAAAGGAAAGACCTATGCCAAATTCTAAGGGGAAAATGTGTTGCAGGCAGGACTCAAAAGCTACCAAGTGACCTCGGTATGTACTACGGTGGTCAGCTATCATCTGGATGCTCCAGGACCACTTAAATTGCTTCTTTATGATGGCAATATTAATGGATTAAACATGCCTTCTCTCTATCCTTCATTCTCAAATGGCTTCTTAGAATCCAGGCTGTTTTGCTCTAGACAGAACTTCTTTAAAGCCTGTTCAACTCAGAATTCAGCACGATGTCACAAACCATCTCAAGACAGAAAGGAAATAATAAATACCAACCCTGAAAAGGTGCCAAAAGCTGAATAAGGCACCTAACATACTTGTTTGAAGGTACTGTGAATTGCAGAAACAGGGCCTGGTGTGTTCTCTGACGCACAAAGAACAGTAAGAGAAGAAATTCATGGGAGGAATTGGCCTGGTGGTCCTCTGATCCTCTCTTCCCCGCCACCCACATAAGCAGTGGATATATAAACAGTACACTGCATTACAGGGAATTCCTGCCTGGAAGGTCGCAAAGTCTTTGCGGTAAATATTTTCCCCTTTCTAGAAAGGGTGCTGAGAGGTCAGGCTAAAACGGTGCTTGACCTTTTACAAGGTATAAAATATAGGGACACACAAAACACAGATGCACACAGAGGCTACCATATCAACAGGAAAGATAAAGCATTTATTTGTTACATACCCATCTCCAAGGTTGAAGCTGTTTGGAGAACTGTTGTAGCTTGGAGATGGAGCGTTGTTCATTTGATAAGGCACATCTGGCCAGGGAGAGCACTGTTGGAAGAAAGAGAGCAGGGACACTTTCGTAAGGTTGGAAATAAAGGATTTGATTCTCCTTTCATACCACATTCATGCTGTTGCCACACCACTAACTTCAGCTCAGCACTCCTGCTGGGAGGAAGAGACGGGCCATGGCTTTTCTAAGCTGCACTCCAAGCGGGTTGTCAGGGGCCAGATTGATTCCAGTTGTGCATTCCACATTTCTCCCATTTCACAAAGCCTGTCCCCAAATAACACTGGGCCAAAGTGTGCACAGCTGTAAGTCAGAGCAACGCCAGTAAGTCAACTCGGACTGAAGGCAGCAATGACACAGAAATACCCCTGGTCTCAATTATAAATCCCTAATTAAATCCAGAAAAGAGTGACAAATACACTCCAGTGGCATTGCTTCAGGTTTATACCAGTGAAAAAGCAGAATCTGGGCCAGTCTGTTAAAACCTCTAGCTGCTAGCCAAAGAGCTTGAGTTATAAATGGGTATTACATAGAGAAAATTTAAGATAGACAGATGTAAAGCTACTAAAAACCTTCACAAATATAGGTCAAACTCTATACTCCATTAGAGTAGTGTAAAGCCAGAGTAACTCAGCTAAAATTGGTGACTCTCTTCTGGATTGATACCACTGCAATCAGTAGGAGGAGTCTAGCCCTGTGGTACCCCCCCCAATCAAGATCTCAAGAAAACACTCGGTAGTATCCTCGTTTGCAAGGATAAAAAGGAGACAAGCTGTAGCTTTAGAGTTTTATCATCTCCACAAATACAGCACTAGCAAATATTTAACTCTTTAGCAACCCACATTTCCCTGTGCAATATGTCAAAGTGCATCAGAGTTAATAGCAAGAGCTCAGGATCTGCCAGCTCAGTAGAATTAGGTCTGTGTACACAAGAGCCTCATGAGCAACCACCATGTTGAATTAGAAGACATGCTGGTCGCTCCTCCTAACTTGAGGAATATTGGGTGGGAGGGGCTGGATCTCACAAAGAGGAAGTTTGTTTAAATTAAGAAAAAAAAAATTTCATTTTTAGAAGTCCAGCAAGCCACTTCAAAAAACAAGAAATAAACCAAACTACAAAACATTCCTGTAGGGATATGGAACAGCATTTTTAAACTATTGTCTTGAGTCCCTTTGCTTAGCAATTCTGCAACCAATGGTGAGTTTATGCACACATCTTAGTAATGAGTATACAGGGGTGGAGGCACAGAAACACATGCATCTCAATATCAAAGGATATTCATATTCACAACACAAGATATTCAAGATATTCCTGGAGTATAAGTCAGATGAATCTGAGATCAAGCATGTTATAGTAGCCTCAAAGGCATATTCACAGAAAAACAGATGATTCACAGAAAAACAGTGCTGATTTAAGACGACTGCCCGCTCATCTGTTCAGGTGTCCTAGCTCCAACATGAGCTTGTGCCAGACAGTTCTGAAGAAAATACCTCTTACAACTGGTATCTAAGTACCATGACAAGCGCTCAGGAGTGTGGCAGAAGAGAGAGAAAAATGTTTCTTTTGAACCTAGGCTGTTAATGGCTGGTTTATGTCCCGAAACATAAGAGAGTTTGGCATCTTTTATAAATGTCAACAGTGAGACTTTTTTTTTAATTTCACTCAGCTCTCAATTTCAGTCAGATCTTGGCTTAAGAGTCTCCACAAGACAATCTCCAAGCATCAGTCAGAATGCTTTTCCTCTGAAATCTATTTCCCAATATACTGAAGTGCTACAACATGTGTCTAAAACATTTTACCTCCGTGAGAATGGTTGTCTCATAGGAAGGCTGATACTTCTCCTTCTCTTGGGTGGTCTTCTTCTCCATTTTCTCCCTGTCAGTCTTCTGTTTTCGGTCTGCTCCTTTAGGCTGTAAGCACAAGTACAAGCTTTCCCTTATGCCAAGTATGACAAGTTTGGGGACTGAGACCAACAGATTTTTTCTAATGTGTTCACAAAAGTTTTCTTAAGGATTAGGGAGACTCTGCATAAGGAGTGAGATCAGATCTGTATTTTGCAGATAAAATTTAGTCAAACATCTCTACTGTTTCTATAACTTCCCCTATTAATGACTGTTGCAATTCCAAAATAGGCTGACCATAGTCCTGTGGTGCGATACCAGCTATTTAGACCATAAGCCCCATGAGGTATGCACTTCAACTGAGCTTTATACCATCTTTCCAGGAATGGGAAAGGCACTGGTCAAAGGAGCAAAACTGAAGCAGAAGACCCTTTGAGAAAATGGGCCTATGAAAAACCTGTTAAGTGGTACAAGTACGCTGTTCAACGATTAGGAGGTTCAGGAACGAACATCAGCATTTTTCTCTCCACCAGGTAGCATGGAGGGGAACTCTGCTACACCAAGCAGAGATTTTAAGGTCTCAAAGCCATGCTCTCACTGTTCCTGGAGGATTCAATCAAAGAACCTGGAGATGCCCATTCTGTATTGATTGCCTAGGAGCACTGAAACACAGTGGATACCCCAAATACTACCAGCGTAATATGTTGGCTCAGAATGCCTTAAACCAATAGCCTCTATATTCCTGAGAAACTGGATCATATTTTGTACGGTTTGTAATACTCGTCATCTTCAAAGGGCACAAACAAGTGAAGGGAAATGCCTTCTGGAGACTACTTGTCTGTATTCCACAGAAATCTGTTTTGTGCACTGATGTCTCTCAGATGGGTTTTCACTCCAATCAACGGCAGTTTGGAAATTTGTTTGTTTTGTTTTAAGACATCCACGCAGCCCAGATCTCAGTATTTTTACAGTGTTCAAGGCACAACGGACTGGCATTGGTCTGAGTGTGGCACTTGTGTCAATCGAATTTAACTAGATTTGCTGGGCAGTTCAGAGCTTACGTTGCTTTGGGCATAGAAGTTCTGTATAAGATTTTAAGCATATCTACTTTAAAGTCTTTGTTCTTTTACACTACGGTTTGCATCACTCCTACAAATATTTTAAAAACTCTGCATGTTCCCATGTCTTAATCTTGTTGATGACAAAGCCAAAACTACCTCATACCTTGAACACTTTGATCTGGCAGCTTGCAGAATGCAAGTGTTCTGTGTATTCACCATTTTCATTCTGTTTAAAGGTGTCGATTTGCACCCGGAAGGGCACCCCTTTCTCTCCTCCATGTTTCCGTGGAGTAAATTCTGTGCTGATGCAATGTACCTGGCAAAACAAAAGCTGTGCTTATCTCTGGAGACAGTCTGAAGCTGCACAAATCTAAATTTTAGATTCCCTGAACTTAGAGACTTCCTGAACATAGGAGTTTTTGGCTCCTCCCTAGAAACTAAAAGAGGCAGAAGAGTTGAAAATGTTTTCCCTTCTGTTTCTCAGGACAAAACACTTAGAAGAGCAAGGAGCCTGGAGAAAAACAGTGCATAAGGAAAAGCATCCTTTAACTTAACTAAATCCCACACAGATACTTGGTATTTGGGTTTAGACATGCTCAAGAGAAAGGAAAGCAAGCAAAACTAACAGGTTGTGAACAGTTTCCCCCAGACAAAGCCCATGCTTAGAAAGCAACATCGACGTTTTAAACACAGATTTTCCCTAGCTTTGATAATGGACCTTTCCCCAAAGCTAGGCTGGTTTAGAAAGTATCCTACAAACTAGTTATACTTGCTTGTCACTTGAGGTTGAGTATTATCATCTCTCTTCCTCATGTTCTGTCTACTTTAAATTTCCAGATCTCTGTAAGGTATCTCACTATTGTATTTACTGCAAGAACACAACCTATTTCTTACTTGAATGAATGCTGAGGCTCTCTTTGATGGATCCCACAGAAATTCAACAGTATTCAACTGGGTTGGGCTGGCCCTGGGATCCAAGATACCAACTGACAGTGGAATATCTGTAGAAGAAAACCCCTAAAATTTTAAAAATATTAAATTGAAGAAGAGAAAGCATTTCATACAATTACAAGATGCACGTGAAAAGTCAAGCCACCAATGACACATCTATTTGGGATCTATGCTGCTATGAATCTCCTTCCCCCTCTAAAGACATACAGGTTTCCTAAGAAAGCAAGGTATAAAATACCTACACATGCACACACACCACACATCATTCAGCATCTGGCTTCCAAACACTACACGGGAACCATAATGAAATATTCTCACCTATATCAAGGATGCGGTCCCCAGGCCGACTCCACCTCCAGCCCTCTAGTTGTTGATGTTCTGTGTACTGCAGGCGTCGATCGTGGAAAACTACACGAATTATGCTCTGTTAAAAGAAGACAGCAAGATGAACAAAGTGATCCAGAGGCCCTTCTCTCGAGATGACTTTGGTTTTCCAGTGTAAAAGCAAAAAGAAGCTGATCTGTTCCTCCTACACGTTTCTCACCCCCATTCATGAGGGGAGCAGAGGGTCCCCCTAAGAGACCCATCACCATGTTTTGTCAAACTCCTAAGGGACCACTGAGTGAAGGAGGAACACTCTTCCCCTTTGCAGGGCATGTCTATGCTGCACAATACAGCCCTGTACAATTTTCTGGGATTCGGTCTGGAAGCACTATAGCTATGTCCACCTTATCTTAGGTTTCACGCTATGTGAACATCACTATACTGCCTCCACACCCACAGTGGCTCTCATGCAGGGCATACTTAATGTGTCTGCACCATGTCCCAGCCCCAGTATCTCCTACTCGGATTAGCAAATGTGAAAGCCAGCTCATCTGTCTCTGCATCGATGGAGCTGACATGCCCAGATACCTTGTCAGTGGGAATTAAACTTGACTCCAGCCATTAATGGCCAGTCATTGACATTGGATTTGACCCAATGTAGATGAATGAGTAAAGAATAGGAAAGCTTCTGCAGCAGGAGAATTTTCATCTGTGGCCTGCAAAGGTGCAGCCATATCAATAACTGGCAACAAAAAGCTGGAATAAGGGCAATCCCCAGCGCAGACAAAGTCAAAAAGTAACCCTAATATAGGCTTTTTTATATTCAGAGTGCTACGCTAGCACGAGTTAATGACCCCTCACCTCCCAGTTTCTGAAGTCCATGCTCCTACTGGGGACTTCCATACCAAATGAGAGCGAGCAATTTTTGCCAATGAACCAGAGAAAGGCCCAAAGCAAACCCTAGCTTCAAGAAGCAAGCAAGCCACAGAGGGAACACCTGCAAAATCGGAATCCAAATCCACATGCTCCCTGAAATGGGCCAAAATACAGATGTGGAACTGCCTGAACTTGGAAAATATTTGCAATTCAGATCGGAATCCAAATTTTGCAACTGGTCCTCACTTCTCAAAAGATATCCTGAGGCAGAACAACGAAGAATTTGGGAGAGGAAGGCTTGAAGGCTGGATCCAGAACCAAGATCTAGATCCGCCTTTTGAATTTGAACTGTTTTGGAAAAAAACTATCCCCAGAACCAAAAAACGAAGAACTTGGGATCATGTTCAGTATGTTCAAAATTAAATCCATTACCAAAGTAAACTGGAGCTATGCGGAAACTGTGTGGCAGAATGATGTAAACGTCAGGGTTCTCCTTGTGACACGTACCTCAACACAGACGTGTTGCTTGGGTTAAGAAGGGAGACAAGCCTGCCTCTCAGTAGTTTTGACCATATTCATCTTTGAACTTTGGGATTCCCCTGAACCCAATATTCACAGTGAAACTCTGGGGTCATGATCACAATCAAAATAAAGGTTCCCCTGAAGCACTGTAAAGCCAAGCTGCATAGTCCCATGAAACTCTAGCACTCAGAAGTAATTCCATCAGCCCTGCTCCCATTAAAAACAATGGCAAAGTATTCTCCATTGTCTCAGTGTGAGCAAGGTCAGGCCCTTCATTAGAGGCTGTATGTAGTAGCAGGAAGAAAAGAAATCTATATTTCTCCTTACCTTTACATATTTTGTGTTTAAATCTTGAAACTCTCCCAATTTCCTATTCTCAAGTAGACGGATTTCATAAGACTGACCTAGAGTTTAAGGAAACATTTCCAAGGTGTTTAATATGTTGTAGCAACGAGAGAGTCATGCTGGCATTTATGTGGCTAATAAAGTATACGTTTGATCAGGGAAAGCTCATTTTTGGCAACACAATGCGTTTGTCCCAGTCATTGAGTAGGCACTAAACACATCAGAAATCTGAGGGGAAGGTTCATCTTTCGGCTGCTAAAAGCACTCAGTTAGACACTGATCACAGTCTGTGCTACAGATGTCTGGTCACCTTTCAGAAAGTCACCAAGGTTTTCCAGGCCTTTGTTCCCCCGCGTCCAAAGGCCATAACAGCACTTCCTTTGTCTGTCCCTTATACTTAAGCTGAAGTTGTGTGAAGAGCTCCTGGCACGAAGGTCTAGGCACTACTCTGTCAAGGAGAGCAATTTGGGCCAAATCTCACCTTCCTCAGGGAGCAGCCAGGTCAGTAAGGCTTTTGGATGAACCGGAAATACAAGATTTGTTCATAACACCTTGAATGTGGCCTTCCAGTACACAAACATCACTTCAGACACTAGCGTAGAACCAGCAACAGATATTACAATAGGTACAAGGATCGCTACCTATTATTGGGAGTCAAAATCAAACACCCCATCAACAGCAACCACCTCTGTATAAAGAATTTAGCCACTTCATTAGAATTTAAACAACTGGTTTATGAAATAACATCTCCATCCAAGGCTGACAGTAGACAAAGACGACTTTAGTTCCAATGCTTTATGCACAAATGGCTAAGACAGCACAAAAGCTTGTTGTATAGGACCACCTCTGTAAAATAAACCTAGAGCTGGTACAGAGGCAGGACAGGAACATTATGATTAATGGAGTATATGTATACCTAATAGCTAGTTTTTCTAGTTCATTTTGCCTCCTCCTTTTACTGAAAAATGTACAGATAAAAACAAGTCAGGCACCAAAAGGGAGATCAGTTTAGATTTTCTGGCTCAACCAGTATCTCCTCAGAACCGGCCCGGCAGAAAACTGCAAAGCAGATGTATCTCCCTCTAAGCAGCTGCTACCAGCAGAGACAAAAAATGCTACATTTCTGGATCTGGATATAGAAAGAGAAGACTTGTGACAGCAGATGCATCAGAAGGGCATTTCATTTCAGTCAGATTCTCCCTTGGGAATCCCAGCTCTTCCGGTTGCCCATATGAGTACGGATTATATATAGCGCTACAGCACAGGGCTAACTGTGCTTATTCAGCTGGCTGGGGTGGGGGGAAGGACGAGAGGGGCCATATTGAAGCCTCCAATGTTTGCACAACACTCCTCCTGATGACAATAGGAGCTCTGCAAACAGGAAATGACCCTTGAATCCAGCAATTGGCTTAGGAGGTGAGGAGGGGCATGAAGTACCAACTTAAGCACTAGAAACATGCACATTATCTTAACCCATTTCTTTGCATCACAGTAAAACAAGATAAAAACAATGTCCTTCCTTTGGAAATTGCTGGACAACAAAAGTGGACTTTGTTAAACCACAGCCTTGAAATTGAGGTCTTCACACTT